TTCCGTGCGTTGGTATTTTGATCACTATGTTTGAGTAGCGGGCCTGGTGGGTGAGGTGGAGGCTGCCCGTGTGCCCTTATTGTAGGTGGGGATCAGATAACCAGGGGTCCCATATTCTGTGGAAGTGTTTAGAGGTCTCATGAATTATGGCTGATAGCCTATCCATGTGTATTGCTTCCTTGGTTTTGCGTATGATCGTTTGCAGTGTTGGGGTGTTTGGCGATCCCCATACTTCGGCTATTGCCCGTCTGGTCGCTAAGGCTATCCGGTTTGTCATTTTGTTTTGGGCTCTGGTCAGGTCCTCTCGTGGTCTGGAGAGGAGCCAGGTCCAGGGGTCTAATGGTATGGTGGTCTGGAGGAGTGTTGAGACTAGGGTAGCTACTTCCGCCCACAATGGGACCAGTTTAGGGCAATGCCACCATGTGTGTATGTATGTGCCTCTCTGCCCGCAGTTTTTCCAGCATAGGTCCGCGTCTGCTTTGCCCATATGGTACAAACGTACCGGGGTTAGGTACCATCGGAGCAGTGTTTTATACGCTTGCTCCTTATGGTTAACGCATATGGATATTGAGGCCGTTGCCTCCCAGATATCTTGCCAGTCAGTGGGGTCGTCCGGTGGCCCTAAGTCCCTCTCCCAAGCCGCCACATATGCCGAGGCCCCCTTGGGTTGGTTGGTGATAAGAAGTGTGTAGTTTTCCGTGATTTGACCTTTGTGGAGTGGATTATGTAGGCATGACCTCTCAAACCGTGTGAGCGTGGTGGTGGCTGCTTTGGCGTTGTCGGGTTGCTCTAAGAAGCTTCGTAGTTGTATGTAGCGAAAGAAATCGTGAGTGGTATATGTTGCCTGCGTGTTGGGAAGGTCGTTGTATGGGGTAATTTGCGTTCCCGTGTAGAAGTGGTGCAGTCTGGACAGGTCGTTTTGTTCGTAGTGTGCAAAGTCTTTGGGCGTTAACCCTGGGGGGAATGCTCTATTGCGTAGTATTGGCGTCAATGGTGTCGGGTTGTTTATGATGGGGAATTTCCGGGACGTTTTATCCCACAAGTCTATTGAGTTTGTGATTGCTGGGGGCAGTGGTGGTGGTAGGGGGCGTGATTTCTTTGGTACCCATATGTAGAGGGATGGGTGGTCGCGTCCAAATAGGTCATGTTCCAGGTCCGCCCATCGTTTGATCCCCTGCGGGGTGTGCCAGTGTTGGATCTGTGTGAGCTGTGCGGCGTAATAGTAGTTTTGGAGATGGGGTAGTCCCAGTCCTCCCGTCCTATTGGGGATGTACATGGTGCTCCTTTTTATTCTGGGTCTTTTATTTGCCCAGATAAAGTTGTCTATTAGTTTTTGGACATATTTTGCGTCTGTTGTGGGGAGTGGGATGGGGAGGGTTTGGAATAGGTAAAGGAAGCGGGGTAGGAGGTTCATCTTTACTGATGCAATGCGGCCTAACCATGAAAGTGATAGGTTTTGCCATCTTTTGAGATCGTCTGTTGCTTTCTGTATCATTGGGGTATAGTTCAGGGCGTACGTGCGGTGTAGTGCTGCTGGTAGCTGTATACCTAGGTATGGGATGTGGGATGTGTTGTAGCGGAACCTGTATGCTTCCAGTAGTGTCTCCATCGTGTCTTGGTCGATATTTATGCTAAGTGCCTCTGTCTTGTCCAGGTTTAGTTTATATCCTGAGGCTGCTGAGTATTCTTTCACCAGTTGTAGGAGTGGTGGGAGGGCAGTGAGGGGATCAGTTAGCGTTAGGAGCAGGTCATCGGCGTACGCCGCCACCTTGTAAGCTTGGGAGCGTACTGTAATGCCCGTGATGTAGCGGTGGTGCGTATGAGGTGTAAAAGTGGTTCCAATGATAGGGCAAAAAGGATCGGGGACAGTGGGCAGCCCTGCCTCGTTCCGTTATGTATAGGGAAGTGGGGGGGTTGCGCGTTTGGGATGAGTAATTTTGCTTTTGGGACTGAGTAGATCATTTTGAGGGCTGTCATGAATGGTGTTGGGAATTGGAGTTTCGCGAAGGAATTGGAGGTGGCGAAGAGGAAGGGCCATAGTAGTCTATCAAATGCCTTCTCGGCGTCAAGGGATAGTAGGAGGGTGGGGATGTGACGGTGATTGGCTACCCATATGAGGTCTAAAGTCCGTCTGGTGTTGCCGCTCGCTTGTCTTGTGGGGACAAATCCGACCTGGTCGGGGTGAATTGTCGATGGGATGTAGGGGAGCAGTCTGTTGGCAAGGATTTTGGTGAAGATTTTGATGTCTACGTTTAATAGGGAAATGGGTCTGTAGTGACCTGGTTCCGTATGCGGTTTGCCAGGTTTGGGTAGTAGGCAAATGTTTGCCTCCAGCATGTCCTCGGGCAGCTGATCTCCAGTCATGAGCGAGTTATATAGCTTTGTCATGTGGGGTAGCAGGTTGTCTGTGAATGTTTTGTAGTAGATGCCCGAGTATCCGTCCGGGCCTGGGCTTTTGTTGGGTTTCGTGGTGCCTATGACTCTCCTCACCTCCTCCTCTGTAATTTCTGTAGAGAGGTGTGCTTGAGCCTCCGTCGTGAGTGTCGGAATGTGGGCCTTTGCTAGGAGGGTTTGTATGTTATCGTGTAGGGGGCCGTCATCTTGGCGGTGTTGAGGGGAGTGGTCGTATAGGTCAGTGAAATACTTCTGGAAGGTCTCGGCTATTTTATTGGGTATGTCGGTTGGTTGGCCTGTGGGGGTATGGATGGTGGTGATTTGCTTGGCTTGCTGGCGTTTGCGTAGCCTTCGGGCCAGTAGTGTGTCTGCTTTGTTTGATTTTTCGTAGAACATTTGTTTTGTCCATTGTAAAGCTTTAGTTGCGTCTTTCGCCATGGCCTGTTTAAGGGCCTGGCGCTGGTGGTGCAGTTGTGTTGTGAGATCTTGTGTGGGGGTTAGTTTGTGTTGGTCCAGTAGGGATGTTATGTGGGCTATGTGTTTTTTTTTTTGCGCCGTGGCTATGCTGATCAGGGATCCCCTGAGCACTGTTTTGTGTGCTGCCCAAAGTACCGCGTGTGATTGCACCGAGTCTTTATTGGTGTCGAAGTATTGGGTGAGTTCTGTCTTCAGTTGGGCAACTATTTGGGGGTCATGGAGTAGTATAGGGTTGAGCCTCCAGGTCCAGGGTCGTGAGATTTGTGGTGGTTGGAGTTGTAGTGTGATGTCTGCGTGGTCAGACCAGGTAATGTTGCCTATTGCAGAGTTTGTGACGTGGGGGATTAGGGATGGTGAGATGAGAAAGAGGTCAATGCGGGAGTAGGTGTGATGGGGGTGCGAGTAGAACGTGTAGTCACGGTCTGTTGGGTGTTGAGATCTCCATATATCTATGAGGCCCGTTTGGGTTATGAAGTCGGCCAACATTTTGTCCGCTCTGGAGGGATGGGTGGGTTGCTGGGTGTGGGGGGAGTAGCGTTGTCTGTCTATAGATGGGGAGATTGTAGCGTTGAAGTCCCCCCCTATTATTCTTTGGTAGCTAGGATGTTGGCTAAGGTGAGCTTGTATTATCTGCCAAAATTGTGGGTCTGGAGTCGTCGGTGCATATATGGAGGTCAGAGCTATTTTTGTGGGTCCAATAGTGCCAAGTACTGTTATATATCGTCCTTGTGGGTCTTTTTGGACGTCTTTAAGGTGTATAGGGCAATTTTTTTTCAGTAAAATTGCCACCCCATTATGTTTGCCTGTATGTGAGTTGGCGAGGTGACAGGTTTGGTAGTGACGGCTTAGGAGAGGGAACGGGCGTGTATGAGCGTAGTGTGTCTCCTGGAGGAAGACCATGTCTGCCCCCGACCTGTTGGCCCAGCGCATAACCCGGTGTCGTTTCGAGGGGTGGTTGAGCCCCTTGCAGTTAATGGATATGCATGTTACCTTAGCTAGCATTGTGGTGTGAGGGGTACTGCGGTGTCGATCGTGCCTTGGTCCTGCCCCCTGTGTTGTGGGTGGAGGTTTGGGGTTGTTGCGTCGGGTTTCTTCCCGTTTTGGATGTGGTTCTAAGGTCCTGTGTCCCGCCATGGTACTCTTCGGGAGTAAACTGTGGGTACAAAGAAAAATAACTGTGAACATATATACAACTTCCTGGGCTTATGGTCTGTGCCAGGTTCAAGTTTAGTGGCGTGCTGGGAATGTCCCTTAGGTGGGACTCCAGTGCCCCGGTGTTAACTTGGGGCGTGGTGGGGGTAAGTCCTGAGGTGCGTCCCGGTCCAGGTGTGTGCGGATTTCCACTGGGCAGTCGTGGGTTGGGAGTGGGGGATGGTGTCTTTGGGTCTGTTAGTTACAGATCTGTCTGGGGGGGTTGGTGGCTCCCTTGGGTTAGGGGGCCCTTCTGGGGGAGAGGTGTCAGCATGGTCTCTTGGGCTGGGGTTCCTGGTGTCGGGGTTAGGGCGATCCCGGCTTTTCTGAGTCCCTGGTGTTCGGTTATGGGGCGTTCTCCCCCCCGTCTCCCCCAGGTTGTTCCAGTGGGGTGGCGTGTAGCCTATTGTCTGGGGGTCAGGTGGTTCAGTGTGGGTTTTCCCTATCGTCCCAGCCCGTTCCCACTTACTTCCTCCCCCCTCCCAACTCCCCCTAGTTTTACCCGCTGAAGTGGTGTGGCGTTCCCCCTGCTCCCCTACCCCCCGCTGTCTAGTCCCCTTGGTGTTGAGTGTGGTGCCTCTTTTCTAGTTTGAGTCGTGCACATTTGCAGGGCTCGCTAGCTGTTCACATGTAGACAAATAAACAATCGTGGCACGTATGACCAGCGTCTCTACATTTAAAGTACGTAAAGGATATTTGATGGGTCGTTGGATAGGTGCAGTCTCTGTGTTACGGCTTGCTCTTTATTGAAGCCGTCGTTTCGGTGCGCCTTGTCTGGGTTCAGGGTCGGTGCGATGGAGTCAGGTCATCTTCGGTCCGGTGCTTGGCGTAGCTTTTGGGCTGTTCCCGGCGTGGTGGTGTCTTTGCGGCGATGGTTTTTCCCACAGTGGTTGTAGTGCTGGGGGTCGTCTCCGTGCAGTGGTGGTAGTGGTGTCAGATCTTGCCGCTGGTAGGCGCAGGCCCAGTTTGGAGGCAAAAGCTTGCTGTTTGGAGGGGTCTGTGAGGATGTGGGTCGTGTTGTCTCTGCGGACAAGGAGTTTGAAGGGGTGCCCCCACCTGTAGGCTAAGCCTGCTTGGGTTAGTGCCGTTGTGAGCGGTTTCAGCTCTCGACGTTTGGCTAACATGGTGGGTGCTAGGTCTTGGTAGAATGCCAGCGTGGCGGTGTCCAGTTTTGGCGGGCTTTTTCTGGTCGCCGCCATAAGTGCTTCCTTGACGGAGTAGTAGTGAAGCCTCACTATCAAGTCTCTGGGGGCTGTGTGGTCTTGGCTAGGGGGCTTCAGGGCTCTGTCCATGGATAGCTCTTGTGGGGTTTTGTCAGGTAAGAGGGTCAGAAATACCTCTTGCAGTGTGGAGTGGAGTAACTCTCCAGTGATGGTTTCTGGGAGGCCTCTGATCCTGATGTTGTTTCGTCTGGGTCTATTGCTGAGGTCTTCCAGTCCGTTTTCCAGTGATTCAATGCGTGATTGCAGAGTTGAAATGGTGTCTGCCTGGGCGGTCACTGTATCCATAATGTCGTCCACTCTGTGCTCCACTTGCCCTGTCCGCTCCCCCAGATCAGTGATTTCTGCCTTCAGGCTTTGGAGCTGTTTCTCCAATTCTGCTGCCATGTGATATTTTATATCGGCTGCTGCCTCTTTAAGCAGCCGCTGGAGGTCGGCTTTCGTCAGCGGTGCTGACTCCGGAGCTGAGGGCTCGCTGTGCTCCGAGTCAGAGTTTTCAGCGCCACGTGGGGAAGATGGCGCCGGGCCCCCCTGCACTCTGAAGTGCGAGGCGACCGACGGCTGCGTTTCCCGCTGTTTCCTGCTGCCGCCCATTGCTGTGGGGTACCCGGTAGGTGAGGGGGTTGGCTGGTGGGGGTTACTGCTCTGCCAGTGTGCTGTGGGTTGCTGCGTTGTGCCTGGGTCTCGGGAGCTATCAGCTCACGCGGCCATCTTCGTTCCCGGCCAGGCTCAAGTTTTTTGGTTTTAAATGCAAGCTATTGTGACACAAGTGAGTGAGTGGTGGCACTGGGCACAGTATCCACTGTGAGCCTGACACAGAAGCTGGCAGACAACTAACTGCTATTCAATCTATTATAGTGAAAAAAAAATTATTTTTTTTAAATGCAAGCTATTGTGACACCAGTGAGTGAGTGGTGGCACTGGGCACAGTATCCACTGTTTGCCTGACACAGAAGCTGGCAGGCAGGCAACTGCAATTACATTAGACAAAAAAATAAAAAAAGCAGACTGATGTTCTAGCCCTAAAAAGGGCTTTTTGGGGTGCTGTCCTTACAGCAGAGATCAGATGAGTCCTTCAGGACTTTAGTGGACACTGTACACCCTAACCTAGCTATGCATTTCCCTATCTAATCAACAGCAGCTACACTTTCCCTCCTCTCACTAAGCATGCAGCTTGAGAATGAATGTAAAATGGATACCTTCCAGTAGGTGGGAGGGTCTGCTAGGGAGGGTGTGCTGCTAATTGGCTGGAATGTGTCTGCTGACTGTGAGGTACAGGGTCAAAGTTTACTCAATGATGACGAATAGGGGGCGGATCGAACCGCGCATATGTTCGCCCGCCGTGGCGAACGCGAACATTCTGTGTTCGCCAGGAACTATTCGCCAGCGAACCGTTCGGTGCATCACTATTCTTAAGTGAGGCAAAAGATCATAAAATTGTGACCATTAAATAGTCATCAGTGTGTTGCAGTAAGCCATAAACATCATCACCATCTTTTTGTTAAAGTATTGATTTTTTTTTGTTATGGTTATTATTAGTCAGTTACTTGTACATTTATTAAGATATAGATTTTATTACTTCTTCCATCAGCTTAATTTGAAAATGACTTTAAGAACAATTGTTGGTTGGTACCCATCCTACATAGCAGAATGAGGTCGAGTAAGGTGGTGCAGTACAGTGGCAGAACTAATGTAGAGAAGGACCTGGTGCAAGACATTTTTTGGAGACACCACTGTAGGGCAATGGTGGACAAAAAGTAAATTCTCAACTATCGTGCGACTCCTGCAATGCTTTCCAAATTAATTCTAACGTGTAAATTTTGAGGGTTTTAGGGAAAAAAATGCAATTAAAAATAAAAATATATACATATATGTGTGTATATATATATATATATATATATATATATATTCAATCTAATTCTATTTGTATATTACTGTATTCTTTATTATTTTCAAATTATATAATTTTATTAATTAAAAATCACGGGACCTGCCTGACAAACCAGGCCGAAAGTTTGCAAGCCCTATATTTGACCCTGTAACATAAAACCTGTAGACAGGGGGTACTGTTGTACTCGTAAGACATCGCTGAAGATGAGTGTTTTATGGCAGTAAAACATATGATGATGTCATTATCATTGAGTAATAAATGCAAAAAAAAAATATAAACACTAACTTTGGTTATGTTTTGTGACTAAGTGGCTACTAAAAAAGACTGGACATACCTAATTTTACATACATTGTCTTCTTGCCATATGGTCTGAAAGGCATCATAAGCACAGCAAACCAATCTGGCAAATTTCAATGTGTAAAAACCGAAAAGAGCAAACACATCATTTGACCCTGTAACTTTCTAAAACACCATAACACCTGTACACGAGGGCATTTTTGTTCTCATAGGACATTACATGTGTATTTAATTGCAGTGAAAGCTAACAATATTATGACATTCTCAGTTAAAATACCATGCAGAACATGAAAACTACTTTATTTGTATTTTAATTTCTCACACTTTATTTGTATTTTATTCATATTAAATTATGTTTCATATAAAAATATTTGCTGTGACAAGCCCTGTTTCTCCTGAACAAAACGATATATAATAAGTGTGGGTGCACTTAATATGAAAGAGGTAAATTATGGGTAAACAGACCCCATTGTACAATGCTACGGAATCTGATGGCGCTATATAAATAATAAAATAGTAATAATAATAATGTAGCTCAAATTCAAGTTGTTGTTCTTTTTGGTTGTACAGCGCTACGGAATCTGATGGCGCTATATGAATAATAAAATAATAATAATAATAATATAGCTCAAATTCAAGTTGTTGTTCTTTTTGGTTGTACAGCTCTACGGAATCTGATGGTGCTATATGAATAATAAAATAATAAAAATAATAATAATATAGCTCAAATTCAAGTTGTTGTTTTTTTTAGTCCTGTAGAACCTGTACAATTGCCTCCGTCTTTAAGGGGTTAATAAACTGACATACGTACATCAACATTGTTATTGTACTGTTTCCCTTCAAGGTACCGACTGATGAATGAGTGTAAAATACTATACTCTTGAATCAGCACGCTCCAATAATACAGAAATGCAGGGTGTCACCTATGTCAATCTTCCCACTCCTCCCTCTCCTCCCACTCCCACTCAAGTTCTACAGAAGGAAAGCAAAAACGATGGGAGCATGAATCTCCGTAAACATGTACCCAGCGGCAGGAAGTGAATTTGGCTGGTCACTTTGGCACACAGTGTCCCTTCGGATCACATTTCAGTTCCATTCCATCGACTGACATTTTACATGCACTTATCAATTCAATTTGTATGTTTCACATTACACATAAGTGAGCACTTACATTATGAAATGCCTTTGTTCTGGTCTGCTTCTCATTAGCAACAGACCAAAGTCATAAATAGCTTTAATGGGATCCCTGGCATATATTTTATTTATGAAGCTCATGGTACAGGTTTACATCTTAATTGTCCGAGGAAAAAAACTAAATTGGCTCCTTCTCTACTCTATATCTTTCAGGCAGAAATACACAGTAGAGCATAAGAAAAAAAAAATATAATGGATTAAAAATGAGTTTTGGCAGAACCACTTCATCAGAAAATAATAACATTGTCTGAAGAATTTTATCTATTTGGTGATTCAGCCGATTAAAAAAAAGATTCAGAAAAACAAATCAGAGAACAATGAAAATGAGCTAATCAGTATATTGTGAAATATATACATAATGTAAATATTAATTGTGACGGTAGTAAACTGTATCACCGTCCAGTATTCCCTTTTTCCCAATAGCAGAATAAGAACAATAATCCACAAGAATAAATATCGCTGGTATCGCCAAATAATCCACACATGAGCCAAAGCTTAATGCTGGAACAAGACTAGACTTTTAATGACACACACTCTGCTTTTATGCAATTCTCCCATGCAAGAGAGACGCCCACAGACAATTATCAATTACCCAATCACACACCGGTTACATCCCACACATCTCCTCCCCTTAGCCTGAGAGGTAACCCAATTAGCCGTACAGTTTAAAAAATACTTTTTACCCTAAAACTATACATCCAATATTAATAAAAGTCACATATTATTAATCAGCACATTTCAAATACCAACATACCCAAAAACCATTTGAATCCGTTCAGCCGTTCGGGAGATATATATAAGTCACCTTTGACCGACCGCAAGCACATTTTCAGGCCCAAAAAGAGTTCCATAGAGTTGGGCTGTGCGCTCGGTCAATTTCACACAGAAAAATGTCTAAGTCCCATTCGAATGCACGAATTAGGCCATTCGTGCAAATAGTCCAGTCTAACAGTGTGTTCGAATTGTCGAACGCACTTCGAGTCCAGCCAAGCGTCGAAGTTCCTGAGAAGGTAAGGGTCAGCGGTGTTCGTGCAAATGCATAGCCGATTTTAGTTCCATAGATTCAGTGGCACGCACCGCTGACCACGTTCGACTAAATTAAAATGGCCGCCGCCACGTGTTCGGTTTTCGAATGGTGGCCGCTTCGACTACTTGGGCACTTCGACTGCATCTGAAGTGCCAATTCAAAAGTACAAATCCTTTCTCTGGGAGTTAAAGGGCCAGCAGCAGCACAACGAAAATCCATTATGCCCAAATCTTGGGCCAAACCTCCCAGGGACCATAATCACATGGCAAGTGGCTGGCAAGCAGTCGTCTCCAGGCACAAGTGGCAAGGTTAATTTCGCCACATTAATATAAATATCATGTATATATTTTTCACATTCGCCCACCATCTGGTTCACAGATCAAGTGACAAGAAGAGGAGCAGTAAATAAAATCTTA